GTTAGTGTGGTTACAACAATAGTCTGGTACAATAAAGCCAGCTTCCCATAGGTAAGGAGACGTAACACTCGATGTTATCGGGGACTCAACGCTGCCATATACGCGGTGACTAAGTGTCGACTCTTAATGATTAACGAGAAGACGAAACTGGAATTATTTTTAAAGCATTTGCATTTTTTTCATTTCTACTTTAATATTATAAAGAGGTATTTTTTTTTTGGTTTTTATGTAGGGGGTAATCTTTGGAACCGCTGGTCGGATTTGCAAAATTCTTTTCTGATAGATAGCTACAATGTTCCTGTGTACTGAAGGTTATAAAACATCACCCTTCGATTAATAGGAGCTGAGCCGCGGCTGCAACTGCGCGGCAATAGCTAGTTTTGTAATAAAGGTAAAAAAGTACTAATACTTATGTTGTGGTTGTTTTAGCGATAAATTAGATAGTGGAAACGCTTTAGAATTCTTAAAGACTCGTCCAATGTTTGTAAAACCGATTGCTGTGCAAAAGGAGTCATAGATACTGGTGAAATTAAATCAAACTAGCTGATAACCCCAGTATTATTTACTTGTTTATAGAGAGAAATCTATACTTATTATAATTATTATTTTCTTTATTCAACATATAAACATATAATTTACATTTTTAAATATTTCTTAAAAATTGAAAAGAAAAAAAAACATTTAAAAATATAAAAAATAGTGTCCCACCGGTATCGGGAACAGGGTCCTAGCTACCGGCGGTCAGGGCTCCAGAGAAAGGAACCTCCTGACAATACGAGCCGTGTCCAGGAGTACCACTTTCTGAATCAAGCCCTTAATCCAGCCACCTAACGAGAGCCTCCTAAGATGTTGGTCGAGGCTCTTGGCTATTAAGCCATTGGCTGACACAACTATCGGTACAATGACTGCCGAATCCACATCCCACATGTCGACAACCTCGCGTGCCAAGTCAATATACTTGATTAGTTTATCTTTCTCAGCTTTCACGAGGTTCTCGTCATGTGGGACGGCTATGTCAACAATCATTGCACGCCTCTCGTTTCGGTCCACCACCACAATATCAGGCTTATTGGCCACTATAGTCCTATCAGTGATGATAGACCGGTCCCAGTACAAGGTGATATGACCATTTTCAAGAACTGGGTCGGGCTCATACCTGTAGTACGGCACTTCCGATCCCACAAGAGAGTACTTCAGAGCAAGCTGCTGATGGATGATCCTAGCTACAAGGTTGTGCCTATGCAAGTACTCGCCGTTAGCTAGACGAGAACAACCAGAGATTATGTGACGAATTGATTCTCCCGGACGGTGACATGCCCGACAGATGTCAGCCGTGCCGTCCTTCACAATAAATCTCCGGTAGTTATTCGTCATGATAACTTCGTCCATAATTGCACAGACAAACCCTTCGGTTTCCCCAAAGAGGTCTCCGGAACGCAGCCAGGATACGGACGCCAACTGGTCTACATCCGCCCCTTGTAGAGCTCGGAAAAAGCGTCCGTGAAGCTCCTTGCTCTGCCATACTTCCCTGCGAGCGTTGGTGTCAAGTACGACCGGTTTACGCCAGTTCTCGCAAGCCAGGGAGAGCGGGGTGAGCCCTTTGTCCACTGCCACTACGTCTCGATGCATACCCACGTCGGCAGCAAGGAAATGTTCCCTGAGACTACATACCTCGCGGTTGTGTAGGGTCTTGGCATTTAAAAAGCCTCGACCCCCACACTTCCGCGGGATATACAGTCTCATCACCGACGATCGCGGGTGATGCATTCGGTATGCAGTCAGCATTGTTCGGACCCGCCTATCCAGGGTGTCAAGTTCGGTTTGAGACCATTTGAGTACGCCGAAAGAGTACATCAATACCGGCATGACCCAATCGTTGAAAGCTCGCACCTTGTTTCCGCCTGAAAGAAAGCTATTTAATACCTTCTTCAGGCGACCAAAGAAACGCTCCCTCAGTGATTGCTTCATGTCAGTGACATTGATGCCTAAAGCTTCCGACATACCCAAATACTTATAGGTTTCGGTTGGAGAGAGGGACCTCAGGTTTATGGAATCCGTGAGTTGAGTGCCGACACAATCTCCCCTCGTTTGACATGCATGACCGCACATTTGTCCACACCAAACTCCATCCTGATGGCACTACTGAAGGTTTCAGTAAGCTTGAGTAGCTCCATCAGTTGCAGCCTGTTGGGGGCAAAAAGCTTCAAATCATCCATGTAAAGGAGGTGAGATATAACCTGACCACCTCTCTTCAACCGGTAGCCTAGACCTGAATTCTCCAGCAATGTGCTAAGAGGATTCAAGGCTAGGCAGAACCAAAGCGGACTCAAACTATCACCCTGGAATATACCCCGCTCGATCCTTACAGTTTCGCTATTCGTTTGGATATGTCGACATCCCGGATAGCGAAGGACCGTACTCCATTGCCTCATACAGGACATCAGGAAGGTGCGTAGTTTTGTATCAATTTTATACAATTCCAGCACCCTCATGAGCCATGTATGAGGGACAGAGTCATAGGCCTTCTTATAATCTATCCAACATGTCGACAGATCCTTTCGGGAACGTCGAACCTGTTGGCTAATGGTCATATCAATGAGGAGTAGCTCCTTAGTACCGCGGGACCCGCTCTTACATCCATTCTGAGCAGTTGACATAATGTTATTTTTGTCAATATGGCTATTTATTTTACTTCTCAGTATGGATGTAAGAACTTTATAGACCGTCGGCAGACACGTGATCGGTCTATAATTTTTAGGTTCCGTAGTACTTCCTGATTTATGGAGCAGGTGGGTAACTCCTGTTGTTAGAAACTGGGGCAGCGACCCTGACTCTAGGGCAGCCTGGAATTGAGATGCTAAACGTGCGTGCGATCTTGTAAACCACTTAATCCAGAAATTGTGCAGTCCATCCGGTCCTGGAGATTTCCAGTTAGGCAATGGACGGACTGCACGAGCAACATCTTGGGGGCTGATGTTAATTGCCCCCATTTGTGGTATTGGATCACACGCGCGTTTGACCTCCCGAATCCAGTCACCCTCAGTGTGACTGACAGGCACCGACCAGATGCTGCGCCAGAATGAACACATGGCGTCATCATCCGGGAGGCGCGTGTCAGGCACACCTTGGTCCGGTCGCTCCCAAGCTCTATACACCCACCTTTCATTACTCCGGAATGTGCGATTCTGGGTGTATCGTTGAACCCGTCTCTTGTACCTTCGAATACGGTTTGCCCATGCATACACCTTCTGCTTCAGGAAGTCGATGCGCTCTGTGACCCTGGACATATAATCTTGGGGGCTAATGTCTGTCCCCGAGAATGCCCGTCTCACAAAGCGCATCACTCTAGGGCGAGTATTGCCCTCCCTGAAGCAAATTAGTTTGCCAATGAGTGCTCTGGCCCCAGCAATACGACGCTCGATCCTGCGTTGCCAGGCCGGTACAGCTGGTTTTAGTCGTGTGGCTACGTCACTGGTTGGGAATTTGACGTGAGCCACACGACATGCCGCTACGGCCGCGCAATACATCATCGAATGTGTATCACTGAGGTCTTCGCAGTCATCAAAATGATTAGACAACTGCGAATCCAGAGCAGCCACTAGCACTCTATTTTTGTTATGCATGGGCAAACGAGGTAAACGTGGTCTGATTTCGGGTGACATGTAGCGATATTCCCGAATCGCACACTCCAAAGCACTCCTCAATTCATCATTGCACTGGGTACTTACGTGTGTAACCGTGTCAGTACTTTCCTCATCAGCGGCGGTACTAACAATACCGCGGTTGGACGGTGGCATCATCGCTGGTGCCACAGTCCGCGACGAGGAGGTACCGGCACAGCTACCCATTTCCGTGCGGAGGCGATCAAGTACAGTATTGTCCAACATACGATTACGCTGGATAACCCGTACCTGATCCGACAGTCGTTGAGCTGAGACGTTGATGGCTGGCTCAAGCACCTGAAACAGAGAGAGCATCCGAACACGGTACGCGGTCAGGTTGTTTCCTCCCTCTGTAGCCCCATAGTATGCGCGCATGACGTTTTCATTTATTGGTTGCGTCCATCGCATGCGCTGCACACTTCCGCCGGCGGCTGGGTCCCTATCAGAAGCCGATGGGCCTCGAGGTCCTAAACCTGCCGGCGGCCGGCGTCCTCCCCGGCGACGCGTAGGTGGTGGTGTCGTCGGCGGTGAGTAGTACTCGTCGCTGGAGCTCAACGCAGCTGCCACGGCCGGTGTCTCTTCACTCACGGTGAGGCTGGATCCCGGCGGCGGCGAGGCGGAGCTGAGCGACGAGGCCGGAGGTGGTGGGCGTGCACGGCGTGCTGCGGCTCTTGTCAACATGGTCTCAACAGACGTCCTTTTTTCTCTTTTTCATATTAACTTATTGTTCCGTTTTCCACATGTTTTTGTTATTATTATTTTGATTTCCATATTCCGTTTGTATTTATATTGTTTATTATTATAATAATTATTAAGCTGAAGGGTTTGTTTGAACGCGCTAATCTCCGGTACTGCTAAGTACTGGTTCGAATTGAACAATTGTTTTTGTGTTTATCAGTCCATTTATCGAGGAAGGCTATAAAACATCACGCTATGATCTTTAGAAGCTGAGCAGCGGGTGAAATGCGTGAGAGTAGCTAGTTATATAAACAAATAATATTATATTTATTTAAAGATTTATTTAAAAAAAAAAAAAAACATAAAATCTATCGTAACTAAACATTGGCAAGTCTCAGAACAGTTTTTCAAAGCAACGCCTTTTAAAAACTTTACTCAGATGTACAGTAACAACATTTCATCACTCACATAATATACCTACCTAATGTAATAAATAATTATGCAAAACTGTAATTAAAATAATTAAGATTAAAAGAGTACTTTCGTTTTTTATAACACTGTTTTTAATCGTTTTGTGGTCATCATAAAATATTCAAACACTGATTTAAATTGCAACCGTTTTTATTGGACTGCTTTTAATTATCAGTATGTAAGTAGTACTTGTAACGAGAGATGATCTCCGGCCACCGTAAGCGCGGGTCTGCGGACGGCGAGTAAGGGTAGCTCGCCGCCCGACCAGAACCAGACCCGAGCGTACGGCGCGTAGCATACCACGCGCGCCTCAAAGAGCCAATAGACCACCACAGACGGGGCCCTAAAGGGCTGATGTTCAGCCGGGGTTGCGGGGTAAGCGCAATGAGGCATCGTGACCTCGGCCCAGAGCATGAGAAGGAACGGGGGGTTTTTAGTCAGTAAGAGTCTGACACTCTCTCTCGCCTTACCCTGGGCGGGAGAATCATTTGATAATTTTCCTCTGACAAAAAAAGGAGTACTTGTAAAAAATGTATCCTAAATACAGGCCGTGTCCTAAAAGTTCATACTTTAAGGATTTATAGAACAGGAATTCGTCTATAACACACTAAGTACAATATTATTTTATTTGCTTAATTTTATTTTTTTTTCGTGTATTTATCTCTACCTTTTTTATAAGTTTGGTTTCTTTTTGTCAAAACTCGAGAAATAACCTCCGGTAACAATAATACTGTAATAGAAAATAGCACATATGATATGGAATTGTATTAGGCCCTCTGATTGGTTGATTAACTTGGAGCAGGCCAATCAGAGCGCCCAACGTCATGTTTCAAGAAAGATTAATATTTTTTATTTTGCGTATAAAAGTAATGTGTCATGGGATTTTAAAAATAGAAGCGTTTAAAACACTGTCTCGTCTAAAATACGAAAATTAGTTTTCAAGTATAATTTATAGCCATATGGACTTAGAAACATTGTAGCTATCTATCAGGGAAAGAAATTTGGAAATGCGACCAGCGGTTTCAAAGATTTCCTCCTACATACCAACTTACATGTTGTACCTCTTTATAATATCATTATAGATAGGAACTTATTAGTCGTCAGAATGTGACTAGAACAAGATAATCAGCTCAGTTGATTTACAACAAAAACGTCAATATATTCACACACACGGGAAGTTATGTAAACTTTTATATACATACATGATAGTTATATAGGTGAATGTGTTTGTGTATTAGTGTATATGATGTACAGATTAATAGCTCTTTCAATTCTTACTAGGATGTGTATTTTTTATATTTAAATTTTTATAATAATTTTTTGAGCTAATCCTATGAAAATATTTTTTAAGTAAATCTGTATTATTATTTCTGAGTAGTAAACTGTGTTTTTATAGTTTAATACTTGTTAGATTTTGATATTTACTTCAGGACCACATGTACGGAGGACCCCTTTCTTTGAAACACCAAAATGTATGTTTAGTACCTTTCAAAAAATAACAATTTCTTCACTAAGATCAGATCGACAGACTGGCACTATATCTTCAAAATTTTGTTTTGTTCTGTATGGGTCCAATTGGAATAAATTTTAATGATTTTTTACTTTTTTTTTTCTTAAGTGAAGGTGGCAAGGCATGAAGATATTAATAAAACATTTGAGAGGTTTTCCAAAACCGTTATTTGCAATCCCATATGGTTGCAAGCTTGATTCATCATAGTATACTTGTAATATTATAAACGTGAAAGTGGGTGTTAAACAATACTTGACTGAATTGAAATTTGACACAGAGATAGAATAGAAAGAGGTAGAATATAATAAATAATTTTAGGTTATATATATATTAAAGAGACCATTTGATACGTTTTTTTAAAACTAAAAAGCATCGTGAGTGAAGACGCTGCGTGTATGAAGTGAAACAAAAAGCAGTTTGAACCAGCTCCACGGAGCGTGAGAGTGATTTTACGCGTAGTCCAAGTAATTAACTAATTTGTCGTAATTACTCGTATTATAAAACAACTCATTTATATGACTTATTAAATTCCATCAGTTGAGTTAAATTTATACTTCGCTTGATATAGTATTGTATTTAGTTTCATTAAAGTACAGTCAATTATATTTGATAATTAACAAAAATATGATCATGGTGTCCGAGATTAGAAGAGAGAAGAGAGAAGAGAAAGGTGAAAACTGAACTAGAGAGAGTGAGAGACAGCTAGGTACTTTAAAATCAAACTGCTAGCATAAGCACTCTTAGATTTTTCGATTTCAGAATCCAAAATAATAGAAATACAATTATTAGTTTTTACTACTTTCTTTTTGAATGTAGGTACCTACTGCTAGAAGCAGGAGCAAAAAATAAGTGTCCTCTGTTTTTTCGTCTAAATGATGGTTATAAAATCATCACCAGACTATAAATACGCACTTTTGAGGAAAGCCCTTTTCTCAGACAGCCAAAGAATGAGTTTTCTCCTCGTTTGCTCAAGTTCTCCTTACGATGAGCGTAAATGGCTGTCTCATCTCTCTACCACTTCGGAGAGAACTGGCCTGATAAAATTCTTCTAATTTGATGCACATTACAAAAGATAAAAATCAATGCCACATCCTTCACACTTCGCTAATCAGTATACATAGAAACAATTCCAATGAGTTTGCCTTTGTTTGTGCCCCTATCAAAGTGTGTTAAGATACTGTTATCTAAACCATTTATCACTTAATCTGAATTTATTTAAAGACTAGAATTGCCAGGCTGATTTACCTGTTAAGTTTGCTCTTAAAAATATGTTCTCTAGTTGAAATTAAACTTTATGTGTAATTTGCTTAGGTATATTTTCATTTCATTAATATTTCAAGACACACAAGCAGTTTTGATGTGTAATGTCCATCTCTGCTTACCGATTTCGGGGGACTGCAAGGCGTGATAGCTTAAATTCTATTCAAGACACATTTACGAATACAAACTAACATGTAGGTTAAAAAAACCGGCTTGATGGACACATGAGGAGTGACAAATGACTAGTCCTGCTTTTGGGATTAAGAGACCGCAATTTGCCTAGTCCTTAAATTAAATGGGAGGCTGGGAGGAGAGGCATAAGGTATTTTGTCTCTGGTAACCTAACTTACACACACAAACACAACATAATCGTTGTTTTACGCCGATTTTATAAATCGGTCGAACCGACGCGAATGTGTTAAAATAGTTTAAAACGTTTTTTATTCTGAAAAGCAAGAAGAATCTATTTTTAACGACAGATTCTGTCTTCGACGCTACGTAGTAGGTGATATTAGTTATTGAGGTGTTCAAAATTCAAACACACAAACAGACAAACAGTCTCCCCGTCTTTTTTTATATATATTAGTGTGCTTGGAGATATAGATAAGAAACGTTTAGTTTAGCTCTACTTTTTATGCAAATTTCGTTTAATTTATTTCAAACTTTTCATTGTATTTATTATCTAAGATGGAAGGATAACCATATATTTTAATTACAGTATATATAGGTATAATGCATAATTAGTGCTCTTAGCTGCTGGTTTCAATAATTTTATCTGAATCTGGTTGCTATGGACTGGTTTATATGATAACTTTGGAAATACTATGGCCCCTGCCCCTGAGCAATATTGATACATACGGATAAACAGGCAGGGGGTGACTGGCAAACTCAATTAATTATTATTATTTGTAAGTTCGTTTCCGTTCTCGGGATCACAGGATCCCGGACCTTTGGAAGACGTACGAGGGTCCGAAGCCAACTCGCAGAGGCCCGTTGAGCAACTTTAAGTGAAATGGGACATCAGCCGGCAATTATCCCTGTATGCACTATGAAAGTGCACCCAAGGATAATCCCCGGTTGATGCAGGACTATTGCAAAATGTGGTAATAATTGAAAGGGTTATCGGTATGGGTTGCTATGGACTGGTAGATATGATAACTATGGAAATACTATGGCCCCTGCCCCTGACCAATATTGATACATACGGATAAACAGGCAGGGGGTGACTGGCAAACTCAATTAATGGCCCGCCCGAAATGGCCGCTAGCATGTAGCGACACGAAGGCAACATACGTTGAGCTGTTTGGGGAAGGAGAGGCATCCCACTGCTATCAGAGCAATCCCAGAAGTACGGTCAAGACCCCTACCAGCATCTTACTGAGGAATAAAATTGTGCTGTTACTGTCTTATAGAAACATTCTGACACGACAGAATCATAATTATACTCCAGTTAACATTTATGTAACCATTGAAAAATCAACCTCTTACGTAAAAACTACTGAAGAAATCTGAATGAAATTTGAACCAAAGGTATATGAAAAGACATACATATTATAAACTGGTATAATACACAGACTACTTTTTACCTTGATACTTTGTGAGCTAGTGTTTATAAGATACTGAGTGCAAAATAATAATTTAGTTTTTTGTGAATAGATTACCCATTCCAACACTTCACATTCAATTCACATACTTTTTCCATCATTCGCTATCTCAATCTACAGTGTAGGTTACGTGTTGAAGTATCAAAAACATAACTGCTTGTTTTGTAGCAGTCGGTTAGAAGCGTGAGTGATACCTCACTGATTATCATCTTCCCACGTTTTATATATGTCAAGCTTGTATTTTAGTGCTTTGTAGTTATTATAAGTACTGTTCAGTGGTAATTGAAAAGTAATGTAAGGTTAGTTGAGTCGTGGTTGAACTAGTTTCAAAATTTCTTCCGCGATACTTCCGCGGGGGCCTGACCGAGCCATTATAGACTACCACTGAGCCAATATCCAGCCGGGATTGTGCCTGGAGTAAGACAAAGGAATCCAACCCGTTCCTTTTCTTAAGTGACTTAAGAGACTGCCACTCTCTTTCACCCCACTCTTAATGGGAAAGTCATTGGATAATGTTGAAAAATATTCCCGTTCCTAGGTAAGAAAAGTATCGCGCGCGCCTCAAAGAGCCAATGGACCACCACAGTCGGGGCCCTATAGGGCTGATGTTCAGCCGGGGTTGCAGGGCAAGCGCAATGAGTCACCGCGGCCTCGGCCCAGAGCAGGAGAAGGAACGCGGGGGATTTTTAGTCAGTAGACTCTCTGGCGCCTAACCTGGGCGGGAGAAGTGATTTGATAATATTTCCCTGACAAAAAAAAGGTAAGAGAAGTATATAAGAACGCTCCACACGTATTTCCAAATGATACTAAAATAACTATTTTATTAAGTTTTAATTATGTAAATCATTCAAGTAATTTATTCATGTAGTATTTAGAACTTTGTTTATATTCCTTATCATACAACATATAATGATTAAATTTGTAAATTGAAAGAAAATTTTTACATACAGATACAAAATTGAAATTGGAATCGCTTGACTGGTAAAGGAATCAATTCAAAGAACTCAACCCTTATAAAC